AAAAGACAATGTTTCTGAGGAAAAGAAATCCATTACCATCCAGTTAATTCATAGGAAAATTAATCACAAGGACGGACATTCAGAAATTGTTAAAGAGATAAACTTTTCTTATACCGAGGAAATGAGAGAGGTGCCAGTGATGGACTTGATATCAGATTTCATGGACGATTTCTTGGACAATTCTAATGAGAGTAATAAATGAACTGTGACCGTGTATAAATTTGTAAATAGATGACATTTTAATATTTTTTTTTAATTCATCATTTATAAGTATTTTTGTTTTAAAATGCCATTATTTTGCATATTTTTGATGATGTACATGATTGATTTTGTTTTATCGTTTGCTTTTATTATTTACATTGTTTTACTTTTGTTTGAAAGGCTTTTATTTTTGTTTAATTGTTTTTGTACGGGGTACAAAGCTAAGCAGGGGGAAATGTAGCATAATTATTTTTTTTTTATCTTTATTATTTTTTTATATTTACTTTTATTATTCAATAGATTAGTATGTTTTTATTATTTTACTTTTATTCTTAGACTAGATTGTTTATCAATGTCTTGACCCAGACTGCGAACAGCTCACGGGGAGCTGTTAATTAGGTTAGGAGGAGGTTTTATACAATGGTAGTGATTTATAGTGTTTAGATTTTATAGCTTGACCTTAGTTTACTTTAGGGGAGACATTAGGAGGAGTAAGAGGAGTCATAAACTATATAAGAAGGCTCATTTTATAATGAGGAGGGAGTAATTTGAAAGAGTAGTTTATTAATGGGAATTTAACTTGAGTTACATTGGAATAATTATTTTAAGTGCCTTTCATTCAATTCTTTTGGATTTATACTTTGTGACATTGATTTGGATTATATTTTATTTTCATTTGGATTTAATAAACATTTTACCGTTATTTTGTGTTTTATTACAAAGAGGAATTATGATTGAGAGCTACCAAAATATGAATGTGAAAAGGATTTACTCGGAAACGCTACATTAGTATCAAAAAGAAAATATTAACAAAAATCTCCAACATGGAAAACGTACAACTGTTTCGAGAAGAATTATATGGATACATGTATACATGCCTTTGCGCTTGCTTTTTTGACAAGAAATACAATTTCTCGTTTGGGGTATAAACTTTCAGGGACTATAGCAACCGTTAATGATTAAACGCCGCCCAATGAAACAGATATCATTAAGCTTTGCAATTTCAACGCTTAATGCCATAAATTATTTCAATTATAGCTGACCTTATCAACCGCTATTGCTAAATTGCCGCTTAATGATATAATTATGTCATTAAGCGTCATAATTGCGGAACAGCCCCAACGCTTAATAAAACAAGCAAATATCTACTTTACCGCCTCTAATGGCACATACTCTTGTATCATTAAATGCTGCAGTCGCACCTTAAAATATTTCTTTCTATGTTGTCCATCTTTAAGGGAAACGCACATCAACCTTTCATCAATACTTCATGGTAGCTGAACATTTTCTTCTGGGGGAAATGCCATGTATCCAGTTCAATATGCATATCAAACCACACGCATCTGAAGAATGGTTGGTGTAAAAAAAAATGTACCGAGGAACAATCTCTAAAACATATTAACTAAAACCGAAAATGATACCAGATACCGGATTATAGGAATGATAGGCTAGGAATTCATGTATATTTGTCATCGTTTCTAATAAAAAATATTCCCAAAAGGAAGTGTAGTGATGTTACACCAACCATTCGTCGGGTGCCTTGTGGTCAAACGTAATCGAATCTACTACTACGGTTTAAAAGTTAAAACCAAATAACAAAATTTTCTCACACAGACGGACAAACACACATAAACATTATTTTAAGGGCGCGTGAAAAACAACGAACCAGTTGGAATTAGACCCAGGGTCTTCGAAATCTATTGTCAGGTGCTCTACTCACTGAACTAACTCGCACCGGAACAGTCGTTCTCTGACCGTCACACATCATTATAAAAATTACTCCAATATGAAATAACCAATCACCCTTACTGAATAATAAATATGACATTTTTGATAAATTCATTCATATTAAAGTTAAATCATCCCTCTAGTTGAATTTGGGACATTCAAAAGAATTACCAATTTTCCAGTTTGTAACAATCCCATTTAGAAAAAGCCAATGAAAATTAACCCTAAATAAAAAAAAAATCAACAAATTATTGTCAATCCTATGCAGGGAGAAATTAGCTTGCTTAATAAGTTCATGTCACATTCGTTAAGATCGATCTTGCAGCCAAGCAGCTTGCATTACTGTAAAATTGAAATTCCTAAATATTTCCGTTTGAAATGTTTTTAGTCGGGATTACTTTAATTTATATCGGGAAAGGATTAAATCTAGAAATATATATCATTTTTTTTTCATTAATTTTGGAATTTTGTTTCAAAATTATTTATAAAATATGAATGTAAAGATTATTTCTAGAGATTAAAAACTATATTATCAAATTAATATTAAGTTATAGTCATACATAATTTTTATCTGACTTTTCTTGATATATTTTATTAGATATTTATATCAAACATTAGTTATCAACAGATATGAAGCTCTCAAATGTCTAATTTGCAGCAAGAGCTTGTTTCTATTTTCTCATAAAAATATCAAAAAATATTTAAAATATATTTAAGAATTTATATCCATAATTAAAGCTTAAAAATGCGTCATGGCTAGAAAAAAAAGAAGAGATTCTGATCCCCTGCACTTGGTGCTGGGCCCCAGGTGAAAATGTCCTAATTTATTTGAAATGGATCGGGAAAGAAAGTTGTATAAAAAGGCTCTGCCTTTATTCTGTCTACTTTTTGGATCCTCAGATGCATAACAGGCAGGAAGTTTCCAGATTTCCATATCCTTTAAACTTTGGACTCTATAGGTCCCAGGTAAACAATCTAGGCTCATAAGGAAGGAATGAAAACCTCATAAGAAGATGACAAGGAAAAAAGCAACTCCACCAATAATGAAAAAAAAATCATATTTTTTCGTTCGCTTGACCCCTGTGCAGTGACCTTTAGAACCGTAGGATCGATCCATATATTCATTCTGTAGCACATTCAACATACATTTTCTTGATGCATATACACTGTAGTATTTTTTGAAAGAGTGGTTTACATTTTATATTTTTTTCCCAGACTTTTGATTAACATTCTTTAAATCTCTTGTCGTTTTTGGTCTTTCGTTTCGTTTACAATGACCATGTCAGCACATACAACCTATCATTGAGTGAAACGCTGACTGAAGTTTTTCATGATTATTGTTAGGCCATTATTTAAACACTGAACTGTCTACGGATTTTTCAGTTGTTTTTTTTTTTCGATCATGACAAGGCAAAATGATGGATGGGGAACACGCATTTTCTCCATAAATTTTTCAAAGTTTATTGGTAAAAAAATGTCCATGTTTAAAATATTTAAAACAATATGATATATAATTTATTATAAACGCAGTATACCATCTTTTATTTCAAATAATTGCTGCAGAGGGCAAATGTGTGAAAAGAAAAGATTTTTTATATTAAAACTTACACTTGCCCCTTTTTGATTATTTGTCCCTCACTAAGTAATTTACTAAACTTTATTGCTTTCTCTGAGAGAGAGAGAGAGAGAGAGAGAGAGAGAGAGAGAGAGAGAGAGATTGACATTACATAGTTTGTCGAAATGGGTATATTATGTCACATAATTGGTACCGTATCAGATTTAAAATGATTGTTTGATATTGTTTAACGCTTGATTGTATAATTTATGACCTAGTTTTACACACAGACTCCATCGCAGTCAATCGAATGCAGCTCTCCTGACAAGATGAATTGGAAATACACCATGTGCTGCATAGTATCATATGGTTTAAAAAAAAAAGAAAAAGAAAAAAAAAAGAAAAAGAAAAAACAAACAATCTATGTTACTGTGCTAGTTTTTTCATTAGATTTATTTAAAAATATTGAAAATTATTTGACAGCGTCTCTTTATGTTTAAAGATATTCTCGCTTACTCGTGTACAAATCCGCACAACTCTTTCCGTCTATTTTTTTTTTTTTTTATTTAACTGTTTGTTATTTGACAATAACTACGTAAACTTCTAAATATGCGAGTTAATATATATGACGTTTAAATTTTACATGCATTAAATATTTCTAGGAAATGTCTGCAGAATTATAAATGCTCTACAAAATGTAAATTATTTTATCAATTATAATATTTAGGAAATCGAAGTCCCATTCGTTTTAGTGAAATTTTATACATGGATTAAGAATGATACCTGTAAAACCTCCTCAATGATCAGTTACTATCTTCGTTTGTACATTTTCCAATTAACTAGAGTGTAAAATCACAAATTTTTGTGGTTTAAGTAAACGTAGGAGTTTGCGGAGATTTGATTTTGTGGATGAAGAATTGTTGAGTAGTTATGTATGTGACATTTTACATTTCGTGGTGGACATGAATTCGGGGTGTCTTCATACCTGGAAAACATAAAAAAGGAAAGACCTACGAAAATTAGTGATTTCACAAGAAAATATGTAACGGAGTAATATTTCCTTTTGGGATACTTATTTTGTTTTTCATAAGTAAATTTGTCCAGAAGTTTCTTTTCAACATTACGTACGTGCCTTTTCCATACATGAAGATGTTTAGAAGGAGTTAATGTTCAGTTGAGCATTACAATTCCCGATTATTTTCATCTAAAGGAATAATTCTTAATTTATCTCTATTAAGCAGATACAGTCAAAAGTAATATTGATAGTAGAAGCCGTATACTACATATTCCTCACTTCTGAATTCGGAAATTATTCATAACTTTTGTTTTACAAATAAACACGTGATGCATAAGAACATGAAAACTACTTTACTTAAATTTTATCAAGCTTAGTCCCCATATCATCTTTTTGGTAATGAAAAAATATAAATTTGTAATAGAGTACACAGCACAAAATCTTTGTTTTGCATAAATGTAACTTAATCTAAGATATACAGGTAAAATTTTATTGGTTAGTACATGTACATAAAGTAATTAGCAATCAATACAAAGGAAATATATATATATATATAAAATCTGAAATATAAAATAAAATACGTTTAAAAACGCTACAAAATACTAATATCTGGCTTCAAAATCTGACTGATTTGTGGGGATAATATTTCCTTTACAGAAATACATGTATCAATGATTCAAGTTAAAAATTCAAATTTTCAATTGAATGAGACACATTTTCAATTAATGTGAAATTGTATGGACGTAAGTGTGTGTTTATTTCGAGTATACAAAGATCCTATGAAAGTCAATAATGGTTCAAAGAATTGAATATTACAAATATGTTACATTGTATCTTAATTGACAATGAGTTCCATCTCTGACTCTGGATAGATTATGACATCTTCCTCCTTTAGGCGGTATTTTCGTCTACAGAAATGATCTGTAATAGCAGCGCAGATAAAATGACTCTCAACATTGGCTCCTGTTCTGAGGCGGTCGCTATGGACAAAAAAAAAACTTGTAATGAATAATAGCTATATTTGAAACTTGAATCAAGATGCGTGTTGCAGTTGTGTGCGTCTGCTATTAGGAATTACAATTCTTTTTGCACCTCTTTCGAATTTCTACTCGTACAATTACAAGTAAAAACCTCCTCCACAAAAGAAGTGTTTGGTCATTGCGAAACATGCTACGATGTCAAGTTAACAAAATGTTATTGAAATACAATGATTGGTGATGGGAATGGACTTACTTACAGAAACCATTCAACAGCAAACAGCATAGAAACTTCGTGTACTGGAATGTTAATGGCGGAGAGTACCATAACCACAGCTACCATGCTAGCACTCGGCATTGCAGGTAAAGAAAGTGTTGAAAAAGTGGTCAAAATTCTACAATAATATTTCATAAAACTCTTTAGAAACAATTAACAACACAGACAATCATCGGATCAACCAGTATTTTTCTCAATATCCTTATTGCTTTAGAATATGTAATTAAATAGAGTTAAAGTACTTTTTTTTTATTAGGCCATGAATGATCATGAAACACGTACCCTATGATTAGGACATTTCCAAATGTCAGAGTATAACCGGAAAATTTTGCAATAAACATAGAAGCAGCTGAAATAAACAGGGCACTCCCATCTGCATTCGATGAGCAACAAAGAGGTATGACAAAACGCGTGATCCGTTTGTCTATTTTATTAACATTTTCACATGCATGCAATAAATCGGGCATTGCAAGAGCTCTGAAAAATACATGTTTTAGATTTAATTATAGGTTTGTTCTCTCAGATTCAAAATACATGTACAAAAACATTTATTTCATGAGGTTTGAAGATAACACTTTTTTTTTCAAATTCAAACTCCAGAAAAGATAGCTTACTGCGATTCAATAATGAATTAATTTCCAACATTATCTAAATCATACACTTTCTTATCAAACTACGGATGAAAGCAGTTCTTATAACAGAATTAAAGTATACGACATAAAATGAGCACGTTAAAGACACTGTTGGAAACATATATCATGCCTATTTTTTTTTTTTTTAAATTAAAATGTATACTTACGATGAGCCGAAAGAGAATCCTATTAGCCAAGCCCGCTTTATACTAAGGATATGTTTGTAGGGATTTTTTCGTGTGAAAGCAAAATATATGAGCGGAAGAAGAATGGCTTGGCTAAAAAAGATACCCAAGGTAACTGTCAAAACGAAATATCCCAGGCTTATAAACGTCTCGGTGATGTCATTAGCACCTGCTAAGGAGGCAGCTGTAAGACTGGCAACGCCTACGGGGGTTAACCTTCAAATAAAAAAAATATTTCTTTTAAAAGCGATTAACCATTACTACTTTTTTTATAAATATCTTGTCGATGATTAGCCGGTGACATATAAGTATTATTAACATATGTATAATTCAAAAGAAATTTACCAGATAAACCATAGAAGAATTTGCAACACAATTTCAGCACTTATTGCAAAGAAGTCTATGAATATTTTGGCTTTTTCTTTAAATTTCCCAGCTGCAATTCCAATGAACATACAGGCCAATATCAGTCCTGGAAAATTGTCGAGTAACGAATGTTAAATGATGAAGTTACGTATTTCGATATAAAACCAATTTTTTCCACAATTTTTTTAAAAATAAATATCAAGCTCTTTTTTTATTCTATATTTACGCTGTCAGAAACGATAAAACAGATTTAGTGAGATTAAATTTCAATTCACATATTACCAAGTATGTTTGGTCCGTCAGATTTCCCGACAGTCTTGACCATTTCCAGTGTTTGCTTTTTATCTGCAGTGGTATTCGAAGAATTGCCAATATTCTTTTGTTCGATCCAAACAATTTCAGGCTTGAATTGTGTTTGTGTTTTGCGAAAAGTTGCCTCTACTAGGTTATCTGGTATAATATTTCTGTCAAATGATTCGAAAATAACAGTTGTGTGTATGAAACGTATAAAATATATTTCATGAACCATATGCGTTTTTCTTTGAAAATAAAAACTTTTAAGGTTTTGTTTTGAATATTGAAAATGTCATTGCTATCCTATGCATCAACTTAGAAAAATAAAGCTATAACATCCTTAGAGAAAAAAGGTGTCTTTATGATATTTAAAATAAAAAAAAGTGTTCCATACTATAAGGTTTTAAATAAATGTGCCTTTTCAATGTATATTTTGATTTGTGCAAAGGCTCATTGATCTATTTCATGTCGGAGCTCTTTGTCATGATCGAAATATCTAGAATGCAAATTTTAATTTACTAACTGATAGTTCGTTCGCGTGGCGCAGTGGTTAGAGCGTTTGCTCTAGAGTCGCCGAGTAAGGAGTTGATCCTTACGTTGCGGGTTCGAATCCCACTGCGGGACGTGGAGAGCGGTCCTTCGGAGGAGGCCGTATAAACCGAGGTCCCATGTCGCTGTAGATGCTGGTACAAAAAATATCCCCTACTGCTCAAAGGCTCTAAGTTACATGTCTAAATTTGCAGCCTTCCACCGGCAAGTGGTGGCGTCTCAATATCACTACTGGACGAAAAATGTGCTGAGAATCCCAAATTTTCCTGATAATGCTTGATAATTACTGATACGGTGCTGTTCTTGCTGATAAATACTGATATTTACTGTTATTATTACTGTCGTTGCTGATAATTTTAGTTGTTTCTGATAAATACTGATAATTACTGTCGTCTTTACTGTTGAGTCTGATACATACTGATAAATACTGTTGATGTGCTGTCGATGCTGAGATTTACTGATAATTATACTGTGGTCTTTGTTTTTAATCTGGGAAGGGCTAAAGAAGAACTGAGGGCTGTAAAAACCTTCAATTATTTCTTTCTTTGAATTATAAATTATCATTACGACATTTTCATATTTCTTTAAATGGTCTGCTAGTGACAAAAATGACGCTGATCTCATTTACTACAATACGGTTGTGAAAATGTTGACAATAAATAAATGAAACCTTCCGCGTATATTAAGCAAATGTTTTCTACCAATCTTTGAAAATTGTATAATTTATCTGTAAGCAAGATAAATGGAATTTTATTAATGTACTGTAAATAAAAAGAAAATAAGGCTATCTTTTTAAAAGATTCATCGATGCCCTCTCCCGTCTCAAAGATATTTGGGTAGGGAGGTCGGTGATGTTTTTTTTTTTTTTCAATAATAAGAAATAGTTCTTAATGGATGGAAAAAAATTGGGATAGAAAATATTTCCTGCAGGTTAGAAAAGTTTGATTCGCACGGTTTCACTTCGTCAACTGGTCAAGAGAGGACGACATTTTCTTTTTAAAGATGACCTTTCATATAGCAATTTTTGTTTTATCATTCCCAAAGACATTTATTTTTTTTTTTTTTTCATTTTTAAATGTTCGGTTTTCTGATCTCTGTCAAGATATTTGAAAATTTGCTCGAAAATGAGAAATGCTATGCATTTTTAAATTTAATAAAGAGATGAAAACAGAGGTGATTATGTTCAATCTGGAGGCACAGATTATTTATTTGTTTATTTGAACGTAATATAGGCTTTTTAGATTCTTCCAGAATATCTCTTCTACATTTACATGTACACGATACATACATGTGCAACCGGCAGATTGGGGGCTGATTAAAAATTAGTGCATGGTCAGAATCCCCAGTGTCAGAGCGAAGGTACACATGTGTTCATGTTATTTTGATGTTGGTCTCTTAAAATTTCATGACACGAAACATTTTTATTCAATAAGTTTTAAAATCTCATTAATTTAATTTTATGGAATGTGAAATAAATGAGACGTAATATAATATGTTTACTTAGTAAACTACATGTATATTTAGTCTTGTGTGGTCAAAAATTGCATAGAATGAATTGATCTTCATTGATAAAAAATCGAAGATCAGTCTCTGATTTGGTTGTATTGTGTACAAGTCTTCCGCCCCGGGGTAGAACGGGGTACAACTTGTATATTCCATGTAAATTGTAGTGGTCAGCGTAACAATGGGCACTAATTACCTATTGTTACTCGTCCGCGGCCACCGGTGTACATAATAAACAAACTACCTACACTGTACATGTACATGTACTTTCTTCTTTTAGCAGGAAAATCTTTACGGTCGCACGGAAAAAAAAATTATCCTGTAATATTCAATTTGTTGACTAATAAAATTGAAAATTGAAGAAAAAAAACTATTTAGCAAAATAGGACATTGTAGTACTAAGATAAAAAAGAAGAAAAGAAATGAAGTTATATACATACACATTGTACAGGTTTAATATTCAATAATTATTTTAATTCACATAAATCTACATGTATCTTTGCTCAGTATTTAATTTTATTTGTTAGTTTTATGCACATTTCTTGACATGCTTGAGATAAATTTAAAAGAAAATCCCGGGGAGGGGGCTACAGTCCCTGAAACGTTCTACTTTCCCACTTGAACGGTGAGCGAACGCTGAACGAACGGTGAACGAACGCTGAACGAACGCAGAGCGAACGGTCAGTGAACGATGTGTGAACGCTGAACGCAACTTGGTGAACGATGTGTGAACGGTGAACGGTGAGCGAACGCAGAACGCGAACGGAGCGCAAACGCGAACGCAAAGTGAACGGTGAACGAACGGTGAACGCAAGATGAACGATATATTCGGAATGCCTCTGATCTTTTCCTTGCATTGAAATTATTTTATTGTATTATAATGTCAGGTGCCAAAAAATAAATAAATAAATAAATAAGTAAACCAATAAATGAATGAATAAATAAGTAAATAAAATAAATTCTCCAAATTGTCCTAAGAAAGACGATTCATGCACATTAAGTTTTAATCACACGATTTTTAACGCATTAAAACATTGCAATGGTTGCCGAACGCTGAAGTATAAAAGATATTTTTTTAGTTGAAAAATAAAAATGTTTATTCTTATTTGATAACAAATCAGAGAAAACTTCTGACTTATAGAATGATTTAAAGCGATTGTAACATCCATTCATATATCTCCGTGTCAAGGCGATTTCATGTAAAGTAATGAAAAAAAATTAATTACAAAGATCAGTGGACGTTTTGCATTTATACGCTGGTATTTTAAATTTTTAATACAATAATATATTGTGTGTCATTTCTATTTTTCATTTATTGAGCAGATTTCTACATGTATCTGTAGATGGCCGTGATTATACTCGGACAAGATAATACAAAGATACGTATTCATATTATTTGTTATAAATTCAATTTTCAGAACTTGATATTTAAGTAATATGCTGTTATAATTTTTATTAAACAGACAAATATGAGAGAGAGAGAGAGAGAGAGAGAGAGAGAGAGAGAGAGAGAGAGAGAGAGATTCCGTTTTAGCCCCCCCCCTTCCTTTCAGGCTTCACTAAATGTTTGTACCTATATCAAACAATAACTCTGAAATTGTTTTCTAAATATATTATACAGTGAGAGTAACTTTTTTTTAAATCAACAAATCATATCCATCTGTTTGACAGTATTACTCGTTTTTATTTTCCTGCTTCAAGTTCACACGAAGTCCACGTGCTTGTCCTGTCAATCAAAATCATTCGACACTGTGCAGGTGTGAAAGTTTCGTCACATCAAAGACGAAGTGCGAGTATTTCCAACAAGTTATAACATTTATTTTTATCATTTCTAGATTTGATACCAACATTTGAATAATAAATGAATAAAATATATTGGGCATTAACACTTGAATTTGAAACATACTCTCAGCCAATTTCAAATACCATCGCCGACACGTGTACATTTTGAACTACTATTGCTTTGTGACTTTTTTAGATGCATGTTTGTTTTGAGACTGAATTTTTTGTTCTAAAAAAGACCTTAACTTTTTTTAAACAGGTTAATTAAATTTTTCTGGAAATACAGTACTGACTAAGTAACCGATTTAGGGGAAAGGGGGGTGGGGGGTATTAATCATATCGAATGGCAAACATATAAAGTTACGCTGAAGAAAGAATTTTTTTTCTCTATAACTATAGACTTTACTTACATGTATTATAGTAGCGAAAATTCTGTAGTGCATTACATTTTAAATAAATATTTCCTTTAAACACACTATCAATTTAATTCGTTCCAAAGATAATAAATTAACAGGATATCCGCAGTACTATGTATAACTCTCAGAACTAGTTCTATCATATTTTCTGTAGTAATTGAATAAAAAAAAAAAAAACGCGTTAGAAATAAATATTTTCGTAATTTTGCTGCGTAATTATTTGACTTGGATAATTATATCTCCATTAACGATTTGTCGCCTTGAACAAAACAACAAAATGTTGCAGTGCTTGAAGTATTTGCACATTGCCCTTAGTTAAATTTAATATTTCAGCATCGTTCTAGATAGGTACAGAATGAGCTTATAACAACATTTATTTTCCAGAGTAATTTAATAAATAACCTAATAGCTAAGTTAGAATAATAAAAATATATATCTTAGATATTTTCCCCCATGAAATAATGATTCTTTAAACACGATATGTTAGTTATTAAATTAAAAGATCTGTAACTCCTTACCTACAAAAAGATAAGTCCTTTCACTTGGGAGTTCCGAATGGCAATGAAAACTGAACGATAGGTGAACGCTGAACGCAAGGTGAACGCTTTGTGAACGGAACGAAGAGCGAACGCTGAACGCTTTGTGAACGGTGAACGCGAGCGCACGGTGAACGGTGAACGCAAAACTGTGAACGGAGAGCGAACGGTGAACGCACGGTGAACGAACGGTGAACGCACGCTGAACGAACGGTGAACGAACGGTGAGCGAACGGAAAAATGGGAAAGTAGAACGTTTCAGGGACTGTACATGTATTTTCAATTCTGAATCTCGGTTAACGATGGTGGGGCCCGTGAAACGGAGACGAGAAATTGATACGGAACATTTGACTTCCTCTTATAATTAAAACATTATGGAAAATGTACATATAAATTAAAAAAAAAATAGATGGTTTAGTGAAAGCAATTATTGAAATTATATTAGCATTAACTGTTCACAATTCAGAAACAAGGAATTAAACTCCACATCGCTCAGAATCCGTGAAAAAAATCTTTTATGAATTTTGAATGACAGTAACATGACATTGTTTATCGCACTCATGAATAAATGTTATAATAGTTCTGAATTTGGTATCGTTCATTGATTCTCTAAAATAATTTTATTCATGTATATAAAAAATATGTGATAAGTAATTATAACATGTATGACTTATTAAACATAAAACTAAAGAATCAATCTTGCACGTATCAGTTTTAAGTTAACAGTATTTCAACTCCCCCCCCCCCCCCCTTTTTGTGCAACAATAAAGCATAATCAAGTCGGTAAGCGCCCAGCCTGTACTGTCCGTTTATACAAAGGTCTCCGACAAGGAGAAAATAGAATAAAAAAACATTATAATCTCTGTACAAAACTACTTCTAATTTTACAAATTCATATCGCACGATACACAGAATGTACTAATAATTGACCCGATTATCAAAACGAAAGTAAAACTTATACACGTGGTTGACATGGGTGTTCCAGAACAGCAATTTAGCTAGACGGCATTAATGGACGAGAGCAACTTCAAGTTTTGTTTTATTTTATTTTGTTTTGTTTTTTAACTGACTGACCGCGTATAACATGTATAAGCAGTTATTTATTGATCTCCCTGATACCGGCGTATGTCCATAGACCTAACGCAGATTTATGTACTATTAACAAAGAGTTAAAGAAAGACGTGTATTTCATTGATTGAAAATCACACTGCATAAGATTTATAGTGTACTGATGACTTTACAATTAAAATTAAAAAAACCCAAAGATAGAAAGCTTCGATACCACACAATGATATCAAATTCGCATCGAGGACATAATCAGAGAACTAGAGCGCACTGGCTATATGTGTATAAAAGAGATTATTCTACAAATTAAAGATTTTTTTTTATTATTCAAACCTGTCACATTCTTCATTAAAAGGACATAGTGAACACAACATAAAATCAGAATAGATTTTTTTGTGAGATATATTTAATACTGGCTAAAGTGTCTTCTTAAAATGAGTTGTATGTAAATAGAGGGCAGGGGGGTCTCAACTTACAGAGCTCATACATGTTCAGTTCTCCACACGAAAAAATAAATTGACAATAACAACCATTGACTATATTAAAGATGTCCTCTTTAAGCTTTTGATGACAATACAAATACACGTGGAAAAAATATGAGATGGGTTTTTTTTTTAACCTTAAATAAAAACTTGTTTTAAAAAGTACTTGGGGAGAAAAACCATTGCAATAACAACACAATTATTATTTTCCGCAGATATTGAAAACTTTGTGAAATGAGAAATATAAAGGTAAAGAAAAACACAAACATTTATGATCTAATTTTTATATTATGATGTAAAAATGATTATAATAAAATTAATACATGAAATATGAAAACAATCAAAAATGTGACTTTTTTTTTCCAGAATATTTTTTTTTTGTTAGAATACTGTAATGATTTTGTTGATAAAATACTTTCTTTAAAACAAATAATCATTTCTTAGGCTATTTTAGTCCCTTCCCGGATTAAAAACAATGACCACAGTAATTATCAGTAAATCTCAGCATCAACAGCACATCAACAGTATTTATCAGTATTTATCAGACTCCACAGTAAAGACGACAGTAATTATCAGTATTTATCAGAAACAACCAAAATTATCAGCAACGACAGTAATAATAACAGTAAATATCAGTATTTATCAGCAAGAACAGCACCGTATCAGTAATTATCAAACATTATCAGTAAAATTTGGGATTCTCAGCACATTTTTCGTCCAGTAGTGTATGTTTGTTTGTTGTTTAACGTCACTCTCGAGAACTTTTCACTCATATGGAGACGCCACCACTTGCCAGTGGAAGGCTGCAAATTTATACCAATACTCGGTACGGAGGGCCATTGAGCAGTGAGGGATTTTTTTCGTGCCAACACCCGTCTCAATAAAAAAGTCTCGATGGGACGTAAATCAAAACAAACAAACAAACAAACAAAAACTAACAAATGTTTTAGATATTGTCTATTAAGAACTGGTATTTATAAGATGTATTACAGAGTTACTAAAAATTGTTACACTCTTTTTTTATTCAACTTCATATCACCTCCTAAATTGGTAGCAATTTTAAATTATAAATCTGAATAATTTAAGTTTAAAAAATTAAATATATCATCATGTATCTCTCAAAATTATTTAAATTTAAAACTGTTAACATAGGGTCATGGGACATGACAATATTAAGTAACATACTTACAACACTGTATATATTTTCTTATCACATGCATATCTCTTAAGTTGGGTTAAATATATAAGCTAAACATTAAAGTTGGATTGTTGCATCATTTCATGCTCCAAATTGTGATGTTTTACGTTGAATAGAAATCAATTTAAGAAGCAAATAATTGTAACTGAAAATGGGAACTTATGGACGTCATGAGACGCACGGAGCATCGATAGCGATACAGTGTGGTATAACACTGAGGAAAAATCGACCATGTTTTATGTTTCCAGTATTATCAATACCTTAGTAAATCTGCAAATATATCTTGTGGCTCAATTTTGTTGACCATTACTTTTTCGTTGTGTGCAACATTGACTCGTCCTACAAATGAAAGCATAAGGTAAAATTCGAAGATTAAACAGTCATGTATATACATGTAAGCTATGCATATCTATTGCAAAAGCAAAAACCATCATCTACATCATATAAAATATGATGTAAATGGTGGTTTCTGTCTTTTTCGCAATGGACATTATTGATAATGAAGCTATATACATGTAGTTATAGATTTAATTTATATCTACAACTATTTAACTTCATTATCAATAATATTCATAATAAAAAAGAGTGATTCACATTATAGAGAAATCAAATGATTGTATTAATTGGTGTTTGCTTTAGACGATTCTTATCTAACAATTTTATTTTTTTTTTAATGTAATTACATGTTTTGTACATTTTAAAAGGAATTATGAAGGTAAAAACTAGCAAATCGCCAAAAGTCGGTCCCATGTTTTAAATGCTGTGTGAGAATTTCACGCTGTTCTAAGCAAATATTATAATCGCAGAATAATTACTGTGAAGAAATTATTCGTTTTTTTTTTAATCACTTTAAGTGATGTAACTGATACGAAAAGTTAGACAATGCTTGTGATTCGAAGCAGAATTATATATTTATGAAATTTATGTATGAAGAATGAGTGACAACGCAAATACAGTCTCTCTTAGATAGGAGCATCAATGACGCCGGCGAACACAAACTTTAAGTGAACGGGACCTTTAAATGTAGGAACTAAAACTTAAAATGAAACTTGCTTCAATAAGTATAACGAGACTAACAATTGAAATTCAGAAAAAAAAATTAATGAAGCCTGAAATTATTATGAAAAGACCACCTTTAAATAAATTAATAATGAAACTTTGTTGTTATGCACGATTTGTATTTTTCCCTTTATTTCAGAGGAAACACACGTAGTTACATGTACATGTATGATCACCAAGGCAATTTCAACCAGGCTAAAATTGTTAACTTTTATACGAAATTCAATCGTTAAAAATATTTTCCTACAAAGAAAGTTTTTGATTTAATGCAATACATTGGTATCAAAAGACCTAGATGTGTCGCAATCTTCGTGGATTCTTGTGCACCCTTATACCAATTAATAAATTAGGGTTATCTTTCATTTATAGGTAAATTCCCTCTTCGGGAACCTGTAAAATTTTAGCAATCCATGAGAACTGGTCCCAACAAATTCTAATGATTCCACAAAATTCAATGAAAACTATGCAACTATAGATTAGTAGTTTGATATAAATATCTCCATTTACTGAAAATTCATTTTGTAGGCAAAGCATTAGTTTTTGAATATTCGATTGATATACATGTATATTGATACTTTGAAAACATTTTGTTTGTAATTACCTGGTTTGATGATATAAATAAGTGTTATGGCAATCATACAACCCAGCATGTTCGTAAGCAATATGTACGTGATGGATACCAGGCCTATTCTGCCGTTTGATTTTGGGTCTAAAGAAGCAGTACCTGGTAAAAAAAAAAGGGGGGGTGGTTTAAATGTTTTATTACAATGTATTATATTTTCGCAGCTAAATGTACTCTCATCATCTGACAAAAGTATTTAACATAACAGCGTACTTACTTAAAATTCACAAAATCTAGCTTAACTGACCTATTTTCAAGCAATATATTTTTTTAAATTACCATTTCATATATACAGATACACATGTATATATAATATCAAGCTTTTGAATTTTTATTTATTTATTTGGAATTTTTTGACATGTGTAAAATCTTTATTAAAAAGTCCATGAATTGTAAGAACGTTTGAGTCTCAAATACTAATATTTCAAACTATGAGAAAACAATCACTTACTGTGTATGACACTTGTAACAATGAGTGGAACGATCATCATTTTCAGCGACCGCATGAAAAGATCGCCTGGCATACCTTTGAAATATAAATAATATATCTATAAATATATCTCAATTATGTTGCATCAAACATTAATTTCTTACCATAATGCTGAAATCTGAGAATGGCTAAGGCTTGTGTAAAACTCTCTGTAAATTCATCTTCTCCGTCCACCATGCCCGTATCAAATCTCAATTTCATGTACATATTTAGTTTAATTTCAAAACCAAGATAAGTATAAGAAAGAATCAGGTATAAAACATTTTTTTACGATTTTATAAAATTCTACTACATATTGCAATTTATTTCTATTTAATCATACATTTCTTATGGAAAAGATGTAAAATCCTCTATGATTTTTTAATGGAAGGAACCTCTATCAGGTTGAATGTCAAAGCCTCTGCCCCGCCCCCCCCCCCCCCCCACCCCAAAAAGTCAGAGTCAAAGTACATGTAGCCTTATTCTTCACATAATTCACGCGAATTATGATTAAAAGATTAAAAGATCATCACGAACTACTGAAAATCTGATTAACAATATAAGCAAAAATGCAAAACGGTAGTACAAACGATTTGTAAATAATTTTACAATTCTATAAGATCGAAATCCAACTGAAGTACTTTTTGTTAAAGCAAGTACATATATATAGGGCTCATTCTAAAATATGTAGACTTTCAATACAATGTCGTGTTGCACTCAGTTGGTTTAAAATTTTTTTGTATTTGTATAAAATAGTTGCAAGTCATTATGTACCTAAATTATATCTTTTTAAATTCATGTCTTATATCTGCCTTCCTCAGTTTCGTTTCTTTATTTCAAAGAAGAGATTGATAAAGATATATTATTTATGTTCTTTGAAATATGTAATTTAATTTTATAAGAAAGCCTGCTGTTTTTGTCGAATAAAATTATTTCTCCCGAATTCACAGGATAAATCTATAAAAAAAATGCGCTAAACAGAAAAGGGTATAAATGCAAGAGATGATAAAAAGAGAAAAAAAAAGATAATTTAAAAGCACAGATGCCTATATAATGAAAGCACTATACCATAAAAATCATTCATTAAACGATACTTTACAGTTGTCGAGAATAAAGTTAACATCTAAAGTATCAAGAATAAAGCCTGAAAGATTCAATAAATCTGGCTCAAACTTTCTCTAGCTGAGGAAAACGTACCGATCCATTGTATGAAGTCCGCAGAAGGTCTAGCTTCACGAATTCCGAATCCGATTATAAATCCAAGAATGACTGCGAGAAATGTCAGCACAAACAACAATTGTCCATGAAGGATTCGTTGAATATTTTGAATACAGGACCTTCTCTTGTTGCCTTCGACTTTTATTTGGTTCTTTATCATGTGAATGAAAAAGAAACATTAATGTTGCAAAATTTATCAAGAAATTTTAATTTTAATATCATTTCATCTCTTAAATACAGCAATGAATAAAATTTACGCTAGTGAAAAGTAAAAGTATTATTGACACATCTGTAATCTTATGTGATTCTTTCCGTGAATTCTGATTTGATGTTTATTTAAAATAAATAAATGCTAATTTCAATTCTTGGTTGATTTATTTTACAAAGTTTTACAAACGAAAAGATATTAGAAGACCGATCAATATGCATGTCATTCTTGGCATTTCTTGACATTAAAGATCTAAAGATTTCGATGTGTTTTTTTTTTTCTTGTAATTTTGAATAAAATCCTTTAAAAGATTGAAGTTTCATCGTTAACAAGGACATTTTATTTTATTTTATTTTTTCCCATTTAAGGTAAGTTCATGTAGTCCTAAAATGCATCATTGTTAACAAAGCAATTTTCATTTTTATTCCATTTAAAATTAAGTATATGTACCCATTAAATACTGCATAAATGTACATCATTTCAACCTAGTTAACAATGTGCGACGGTATCGCTTAGCCTTGGACGCTTTAAAAAACAAACTATATACCATCGATTCTAATGTTATGGTCTACATAACTTTTTCTTAGCGTTCGTAGTTACTAAGCTATTAAGAGCATTATTAATGCATAATGAGCGAAGGAAAATGGAAATAGTTCAGTTCTCAAAATAATAAAATGCATCTTTAAATATCCAAGTAATGTATGTGCCAATGAAAGGCTTCACATGTTTGGATAATGAAGGTACACTATTTGAAATCAGGATCCATACACTATAATAGATGTACGTTTATTTCGTTCATTTCATCATTGAGAACTTGCAGAGGACAAATATCAAATGCACAGTATTTTTTACTATGCAGAAATAATCCATGTGCTCAAATTTCTTTTACTTGAAATCATGTATGGTTCATCAAATTAATTCACATATTAGTCGGTGCTACATGTAAGATGCAGCAGATAAAATATGTATATAGTTTACATCTAAAATTACAATTGTGGGTTCTGAAAACATTTAAAGATCCCGGAATACAAATTTTTGAAATTTTGGGCAAACTGATTATAAGATTGTTTTCTTCTATTAACCTGTTACCAATGTTAAATAAATAAATTTTTATATATGTATGGGTATTTGATTTCTTCCAATTTGTTCATTAATTGAAAGATGATCCTTCAGAAGAAGTAATTCAACAAATACATTTACTTCGCGTTTGTATAAAAATGAAAAAAACAAAACAAAACAATACGCTGTTAATTTTAAGTGAATGATTAACAGAATAATAAAATCTGCCAAATTTATAACTGTCCATATGATATTTAACTTATTTACATTTAGTTTGCCCCAAGAAAAAGTAGCAAAATAAATGATACAAGAATAAATTTTAAATGATACTTCTGTAGCTTGAATCAACTGTGTAAAAAAAATTGCAAAAAAAGTAGAACTGCAGTGTGTGTGTCTAAAGGATCCGTGATTTATGTTGATCCCCCCCCCCCCCCCAATATTCCTTTATATAGGAGGATTGATCCAAAATAATGTCACAACTGCTATAAAATCTTTAATAATCAACCCTCGTTTATACAATAATACAATACGAATTTATATTTAAGTCTACATTTAAATAAAATTATCAATATATAGTTTTTAAGAAGTTAAGGAAATGTTAATGAATGTAGTTTATACTTTGCATTATTAGTATCATTCGCTTACCTTTTTCATTTTTATACGATAGATAAGTGTATAAATCGTCTTTAATTCAGAATGTCATCTATGTCACAGGACTTCACAAGACTGTTTCAATGAACTAGAGCCTGCTCAGATGATTTATTAAAACTGAGTCCCGACTTTTAAGACATCGAAGATTTAAAACATTCATTTTCACGTTTCACTGGCTATTGGTCAAGAATGTGTGACAAATAATGTAAGATTTGAAATCATAACAAACTTAAATCCCCCGAGGGTTATTAGAATTTCGATGATCTTTTCACCGATAATTCAGATATGTACAAAAGAAGGCTGAAGCTTGACATCATCCGTTAACTCTAAATTCACAAAAAAAAATATTTCTTATTTGTTATATTTTTTTTTTTCAGGGTCAACCATGCTGTTAAAAGTTGCTACTAAAAATGTTTAATTTTCGTGATTTCCATTAAAATTGAGAATGTCTTGTCAAGTTGATAAATCATCCTACGTATAGAATGCATTGTTGGCATTTGTTTTCTCATTCTCTCAAACGGATTGACAATCTCTATTCTTAAAGCATTTTACATAAGAAATGTAGTATGGAAATCCAGTAGCACTAAGTTTAGAGTTAGCGCATTATGAAATTCTACAAGTGTCCTGGTGTTTTACGCCTATATTTATTATCTACGATCATCTATCGAGCAGACGATGCTATAGTAATTAATTAATTATTAGATAAGCAATATTGCCATTAGAATTATCTAGATAAAGCATATTTAAAAAAAAATCAACTTCATTCTTTACGAAAACCACAAAAAATTGAAATTAAAAAAATATGTTCTCTCCAGAAAAAATATGAATGTTATGGTGAATTTTATTTTCAAGTCAATATTCAATTATATTTTCAGAAGAATTATAATGATATTGGATTAGATTTCCATGAAATGGATTAAAGGCCCTGTCATATCCTTCAGCAAACATTTTTCTTCAGTATTAAAAAACATTTTTTCTTCAAAGTTATCTAATCTAAAAAAGATCAACAGATTAGTACATAGAGATTTTTTTTTTTTCGCAAAGAGCCTCACTGTAGATTCAAAGTACCAGACTTACCAGTGTTCAGTTGATTAAATTTTGATTGTGAATCTTTACCTTCACTATCAGTATTTCTTTTCAGGTAAATTTTACGTTAAATGTTCTATCACTGGAAAAAATCATAACTTATTATAAATTCAGGTTCCTCCGACCACGTGACTTTTTAACATAACTACTGACGCAGTCCTCCAACTGTTCACTTTTAAATGATAAAATAAGGGGCAAGACATGACACACGAACAAGTTAGAATTTTCCTTTTGTGTGCATGTCTCATGTGTGCAGCATGCTTAGGGCTCTATCGAGAGGAATTTTACTTCAAAACCACCAAAGAGGTAACGGGCGAACGTTTATATATGAATAAAATCATACAGAAAGAAAGACGCTCCGTCATAGAATGTGTCATACTTTGTGAAGAGACAGAGGACTGCCTTTCAGTATTTGGTTGTAAATTTGAAGGAGAAACTACATGCACACTTTTCAACCAATCATACGTATATGGCACGGAAACCAATTCGTCAACATGTAAACATTACACAAAGGTATGATTTTATTTTAATCATTTTCATTTAAATGTACCTGTCTTTATTGCGGGTCGCAATAATAGGTATGAATAATAACACAATAATATTAGTCTTTAAACCTGCATTTCACTTTGACAGCATCGAGACATGGACATTGAAGAAACAAGCAGCAACATAGACAATACATCTGTTACATTTGCAACTGACTTAACAACAACAAATACTTCATGTGAAAATCAAGTCAGTCCATTTATGATGAACAAGGGAAACGCAAGTTTTGGTACGGATATGTTATCAATCTTGGAATATCTTTGTTATGTTTTTGACACAGTTTTACCAAAACAAAAATAATTTTGTCATTAGAGTGGTAGAAACATTTTTTACCGTTTCCGTCAATATTCTGGCATTTTGGTGTTGATTAAGGACAACAACAAATATTTGGCATGCTTTATTGACAAGTTTTCTTTCTTAGTCCTGATTTTGTAGAATTTAAAACAGAATATTTAAAGAATACAACACTGTGGCAAGTCCTTAATCAATATATATCATTAAAATTAGAAAATATGATTTAAAAAGAAATACTTAGAATACAGTTCCCTTTCGGTGGTCTTTTTCTGGGCAACTTTTTTCTCTTTTTTAAAAACAAATATTTGGGTAAAATGGTAAGAATGTTGGAATATTAAGTAAAGTTAAAATTGTTGGTGTCATTTGAATAATATTATTTTACTGTTCTATTAGTATTGAATTAACTATGAAAAAACAAATGGTAAGAAAATGTTCTACTTTTACTTGTACTAATATTATAACACAACAACAACAACTACCAGGGGTACTACTACATCTACTACATCTATTGCTACTGTTACTACTTTTAATAGATGTTTATTTTTTTAACATGTTTAGGATGCAGTGACTGCGAATGTATTTTTTCTCAGACCTCGGAGTCTGGAGAATACATCATTCAGTTGGCAGAATCACTTGTGAGAGTATTTTGTGATTTCCGAAACGGACGTTCCTGGACAGTATGTATTGACTAATAGTTGCTCTGTTAGAACAACAGAAAGAAATTCAAAAGATATATAAGTCAGAAATCTTTCAAAATATCATTTATGCATGCATATGACTAGATAAATAGTGTTCTGAACAAACAAAATCTATTGATGAAAAAATGGAGGAAAAATGTAAATTATGAGTACTGCTTAAAGAATATCAAATATCTATGGATGATGTGTTGATAAAATCATAAAACTTTAAAAAAGAGAATCAAAAGCATCCAAAACGTATGACTTATCAACACTTTTCAATGCTCAACAATTCCCTACGATAAATTAAAATCGTTTCTCTGATATCATCGATAACTTAAAAAAAATAAGAATGGAACTTGCAGATTTTCAAATCTTGTCATTTGACATCTACAAACTTACTTCGTTAAGAAACATTATGATTCTTTACACAAAAAAATTGAATCTGACATTAAAAATTGCCTGGGTTCTTCATTGACAAAAACTATGTAGTCTTTGTACACCAGTTTCATCAACAATCTGGTTGCAAGCGTGGCGCAGTCGTTAGAGCGTTTGCTTAAGAGTCACAGCTTAAGGGTTGATCCTTACGTCGCGGGTTAAATTCCACTTTGCGACGTGGAGACCGGTACTTTGGATGAGACCGTAGGAACCGAGATCCAGCCTGTGCTGGCACAAAAAAGATCCCTCACTGCTCAATGATCCTAAGTGCCGAGTACAGGACTAAATTTGCAGTCCACCGGTTAAATGAAATGAAAGCCACCACAGAGTCTTACACATCACACAGAGAAAGATATTGATGGCAAACTTATAACTAAACTTTATGATGAACGTGATGACTTCAATTTTTCTTTCGTCAACTTCCCATGTTTATGTAGCAATATACCGATTTCACCTGCATATGGAATTTATGTCTCCAAGTACCGGTAGATTCAACGAGCAAGAACATGTTTTTCGTGAGCAAAATTTCTAAAAATCTACTGTTGTTGATACAGGGGTATCAACAATCTCGTTTTCAGTTGGAATTTCGCAAATGCTATGTTCGATAAACTGACCTTACAATACAATCTATGTTCACTGGCGTCTTTCATATAATTTGTTAGACCATCATTTTCATACTGCATTAGCCAAGGTTTCTCCCTAAACCCGATCAAGACAAAGGGCACACGGCGGATGTGACAGTTAAACGGGGATGCGTACACCTCCATGGTTCCTGATCCCACCTCTGATATTTTCAGAGGTTCATGTTTGCTGTGCTCACAATTTGCATTGATTCATTGGACTTTTGAGCATGATAACTGTTGCTTATTTTCATATTTTATGACTCAAGATTAATATTACGTTTGCAGTGCTGACTTTATATAGGTTTGAAAATGAAATCTATTTGACCCTTTTTTCATATTTATAACTTTTAATGAATCAAATAATTTCGGCAAAATACAATATCTTTCAGTTGTTTTACAAATTATTTCTCATCTGAAGAAAATGTTTTAAATTTTCTTTAAATAGGTTATTCAAAGGCGTGTAAATGGGTAGATAAGTTTTAAAAGAAACTGGAAAGAATATGCTGAAGGATTTGGTTGCTTAGACACTGACTTTTGGATTGGTAATTTATTTTTTATTTGGGATAGGTTACTTTGATATGATCTAAACGCATTCAATATCAATTAAGATGCAAGCCACTAATGAAAATGATGTAATGTTTATTTAATATACAAGTTAAATTTTGTAAAATTTGCAACACTTAAACATTTGTATGAAAGGGGAAATATCATATCAACAACGAAGACTAAAATTATAAAGTTACTGGATATTTCCTTTGCACAGTTCAAAGTTTGCATAAATTTAAGTTGTCCCACGACACAAATACATGTATGTTGTTATCGATAAAACAATCCTATCGAACATTTTCGGATTTTTTAAAAAAACAAATTTCAAGTCATTGCATATTTACACTTAGATATATCAGAGCGCTTACTAGGATTGATTCTGTACAACTTCAGACAAAACAAATTCTCCAATAAATATATTCCTAAGTGGTCTTCATGGTGGAAGCTTCTTTAGCATAAATCAAAAGTCCTGTAGACTTTACATTAACACTGAATAACGTAGTTTTGTAAATTTTCTTCGTCTTCCATTTCTGTATATATTCCATATTTGTGATTGAATAGTGTTACATTGCACTCCTTTCAAAAAACTATATTTCATCGGTGACTTTTTGGCTAGAAGGTAAAAAAGACTTAAGACAGCTTTGAAATATTATTCGATATACGTAGACAAACGCAAAAAGAAACATTACATGTAATTGATAGTTCCTTGCATTAAAAAGTTCAAGAAACCACGAGACGGCGCTTATGCACATTTTCTGAGTAAATTGGCAAAATTCGGATGATGTATGACACGATCAAGTTAATATGTATCAACCTCATGATTTTTTTTTTTTTTTTTAAATATCTTATTTTATTCAATTCTTTAATTCAGGAAACAAGGTCATTCATGTTCTGACTCAAAATGACCATAAACGCCTCCTTAGAGATTTGGAAGACCACAACGGTGTCCATCATTATGCACACTATTCTGACTTTTCAGTTAAAGCTGTGGCGGAAAAATACAAGTTGTCCGTGAAAGGATTTTCTGGTAATATATGTAAGTATCATCCAAAACACTTTTTATATATTTCTAATCGACGCATATATATTTTATCTAAAACTTTCTGAATTTTTCAAATGTCTTAGTATATTCTCCTCCAATTCATAAATATCATGTGCCTTTCAACATTTGCGACATTCTCAACTCTGGTAAATCAAGAAACACTGCACGTGAACACACAAAGAATACCTAGAATTTTCATGACTGATGTATTTTTCATACTTTATCTACAAGAATGCAGCTGCACAACAAAAACTAATCTTTTCGGTCCTATTTATTAATTTCAGGTATAGAAACTGTAGTTTAGGTCTTAGTGCTGATGGGTTTCTGTTAAGATAATAATGTTTAATTTTCTGTGGATTTTAATTTAAAAAACACAAGATGGTAACGTTGATTGCTGAAATTTACATATTCTTTGAACACACACGCTTCTTGGGCCTATTTTCTACGTAAAATAGCAACTATAAGTCATTTTTAAGTGTTACTATACGGTGTTCACTATTCATCTTTACACAAACCAAGCAAAAGGTTACGCCTATATCAAGTATATTGCTCATTTCACTCAGTGCACACGAATCGAACGCACGTACATGCATGCGCGTGCAGAATGACCTTTATTGTGAAAATCTACTTTTATAAGTAAAAATATTGTTCTTATGGTAATTTCATCTCGCAAATTATAAATGTCACATTAATGCACATATTTATTGATGTAGATGCCTGTTTTATGGGACTAGACATCATGAGAATTCAAATTGTACTATCATTATTAATAGTAGCTATACTATGAAGCCGATGATATAATAAATATTTCCTTCAAATGTGCATTAAGTAGAGGAAAGAAATTAATCCATACTAATACAATTTCTCAGTTCATGTCTGTTCTTGTAAATAAAAAAAGTATTGAAATGTATTTTGACCATTAACACGAAACGGTAACTTCTTAAATAAACATCAGGCATTAAAAATAGCAGAACACAAGCCAGTCAGAAATTGTTAGAATTCCACAAAACACAACAATCAGTACTCCAAATTTTTATCTTTAAATGTATAGAATCATAAATTTTTAGCTTTAAAAGTATAGAATTTTCCAGTTTTATCCAATAATAGGTCGCGTTTACATTATACATATTCAAAATTGATTCGCGACTTTGTCAGGCACATGTACATGTATTGCACCAAAACCTAATCCAAACTCAAAATGATCATTATTTAACTTTCCAGAATAAGTTATACCTTGGCTTTTTATTCAACAAGCAATAACAAATAAAAGTTGAATAGCAAACTCCCTTATGCACACTTTTCCGTCAAATTAAAAGTGATATATATATATATATATATATATATATATATATATATATATATATATATATATATATATATATATATATATATATATATATATATATATATATACATAAACTACTCCCATTAACCTTTAAGCAATAAAGGAATATATCATTTAATCATTTTTATGGGAAATCCATGAATTTCAATCTTGATTTGAGCTCGTACATCACTTACACTTAATCCAAATCTCAAAATCACAATTAATTTAAAATAAAGTATGAAAGATAGTTTATTGTTTGTTTTGGTGCGTATTTTTTCTGATTAATATACAGTTCCAAATACAGGTACCACCAAATATGATATAATGTAATGAAAAAGCCCTGAAAACAAAACATGCTGTTGTTTAGATAAAACAACATATTAAAAGCGTAAAGAACACATGAAACTGAATGCAAATGAAATTAACTATCAAACACAATAAAGTTTAGTTTTTAAAGATATCTTGAATGTTTGTAACATTAATATGAATTAGCAATAAATCCATAAATCATAATCTAATATTGATTGCACTCATTGAACAGCCTTAATAAGATTAAAACATTGTTAACCCTGTTTTCTTTTCTTTTCCACGAAAGTTGATGCTTTTGGATCTGTCTGTGAAAGATATTGTCATAACGACATGATGTTTTCTACCTATGATCAAGACAACGACGGAAGTGCATCCAAGTCATGCGCAGTAAACCACAATGGATGGTGGTTTAACGATTGTTATCGTTGTGCCCTAAATGATGAAAAGATTGGTTGGTGGACAGCAGACCATGGAATTCTGTATTTCAGAAGTGTCAAAATGGCTCTCGCGAAAACACTTTAAAAAGGATATAGTGCATTGTTTCTAGAGATGACTATCAATTGACAACATGATGGTCATAAGTTCACTTGTGGTGAACATTTTGATTTTTGCGTGATAGATTTGAATGAAGAATGGCAATTTATAGATCCTTATAAAAACCATTTACTATGAATGATATTCAAAATTGGCTATAATGTCAATTTTTTCCTATTATATGTTTATTGTGTATATTAAATTAACTTACTGGAATATGAAATTCTGATTTGCTCCCATTCTACGAACAGTGTAAAAGTGTGCAACATTTTATAGATTTGAAATAATCCTGTTTCATGTTTTTAAGCAACGAAGAGCACCAACATATTTTTAGAGGAGAAATCGCTGAGTTTGTTTCTTTGTTTGTTTTTTTTTTTTTTTTTTTTTTTATTATTATTATTATTATTATTTTTTAAATGAACTGATGAGTATAGTATAGCATGTTTAAGCAGATCGATACATGTCCTTTGATAATTGTATCGTTTGAACATTTAAAGGTTTCCAAGATAATATCCAATTAAAAATTTATACGGATATAAGGATGGCAAAAGAAAATTCGTATAAGATGATTTCCGCCTTGATACATGTAAGTGATCAAATAATGATCACTTTTAAGACAAAAATGAAAATTTAATACCTTTTCTAATACATGTTCTGTTTGCATGAATACATATACTATGGATGACTTCAAATTATTAATAAAAACATTCTCTATCAGCTTCTACTTGTTGAAAAGGAAACTTATCAGGGAAAGCCAAGGACTTTTTTTTCATGTTTACTCAAAATTTCATTTGTAAATATGTTGAGTAATCTAACAAAAACAAATTTAAAAAATCGATAAATGAAATGAAGACCTATCTATCTATCTATCTATCTATCTATCCATCTATCTATCTATCTATCTATCTATCTTTCTTTCGTTCTTCCTTCCTTTCTGGATTGAACAACAAGTCTAATGATGTAAAGTAGCGATCAGTATACATGTAAATGTAGCATATGGCGATGCAATTATGCCTTTAAACCATGTTTGCCCAGGGTTACCAATTCTATCTAAAAACCAAGTCACTTATTGCTTAAATGATCAAAACTATTTTATTTGTCTTATATGCCTTTCTCAGCAGAAAATAGTCAAGTAAAAATAATTTGTTCTTCACAACAAAAATGTAGGAAACTATTATTTGATTTATTTTCTATTTCATGTATTACTTAAGATTGATGTCAGAATTCAGAGAATTCAGTTCACAGAAATTACTTGAATTACACGTAGTTACACTCTAGTTTAGTATATTTCATCAATGTTTACTATAAAAATTCATTAAGAGCCCCCTTGTTCTCGATCCTAGTGAAACATGAACTTTAATAATCTGTTTACTTCTTCGACATATTAAATATTTCTGTACAACTGTACATTTATGTTAGCTAATGAAATGGGCTTTTGAATTAAGGCTACAATCTCAATAAGAAATTACCTTATTAGCAATGCAAAATAAATGTCACCGAGTTGACAGGTGTCTCAATTGCCACGTGGTAAGAACGCTCGCGCAGGTCAGAGGCCCGTGGTCCGAGGCCCTGTTGAGACTTGATTTTTCACAACCTGTGGCATAAACAGTACTATTTCTTCCCATATTAAGTTCATTGCATATTTCTGATTACACAATTTTTTTTGCATTCAATAATTAACTATATTATTAACACTATAACATCAAAACAGATTCTCACCAGGAATAAGAATTCATAAGAATTCATATATTACATAAAGCGAGATGTTATTGGTGATTGTGATAATCACAAACGACCATGCATACATTTATTTCAGATAATTGTCCTTTATGTAATTTCTGATTGTATCTTAATTACGAGTTTTTGAAATATTGAAAGTATAGGGCATTACTACTGAGTTTGAAAATATGTTTCTTTAGACACCAGTATGTGTACTAGACGTTGCCGAAAAGAAAAAAAGACTGTCAATGTTTACGTTCATTAAATAACTATGTTAATTGTTACTATTTATTTTAATTAATTCTTGTTACTATTTATTTTAATTAATTCGAACGGGGGATAGCTCAATTTATAGTATTACAAAGGATAAAAACAGCCCACGGTGTTCTCGTCAAGATTTGAAAAAATGTCAGGTCTCTTCACTAAAATTAAACATAAAGAAAATAACACTGCGACTGAAATAAGATTCTAAATAATACAAAATGAAAAATAACCCAAAATGAAGATTATTCATTTTCATATAATTATAGAAACTATGATTTACTATAAAGGCATGATAACTTAATGGTAAGCAAACAAAAATATATTTTAATCGATAATATCCTATTTCAAAATGTTTCGATAAAATATGAAAACTTACCTCTTCCAAAATAATAGAATTTATTTCAGATCTTCATTACACAGGAAACAACTGTCACTAATTTCGTTGCTCATGGCCTTCAATCCAGGATGTTTGATTGAACAGATTAAAAACAGGTCGAGCACTACCATCGATATATACATGTACAAATAATCTGCGATAAAGGTCAGTGATTCACTTTACTAAGAATTTAGAAATTAAACCACACATACAACTAAACATGAACAAAAAATGACACTTTATTAAGGAATGTTACAGTTAATAGTGAGTTGCTCATTAATCTTATTTAGTAATCTATTATGATATTTTTGGGGCAATGAAAGCAATGAAAACGTCACCCTAAAAATGGATTTTAGATCTTTGAAAGAAACGAGTTATGGTCTCCTTTCACTTATGGTCATCATTAAGTCTGTGATGTCCCCTTATGTCAGCTAAACACACTATTTAATGCTTTTACAGACACGGGTCAGTATTACCTAAACCATCACAGAATCTTTGAAATGTGAGACGGACTTTTTCCTTATGCTTAATATTATTTCTTTGCATAAACTTTTCTGTGTACAATGATCTGGACCCGAATATTCTAATATGGAAACAAATCCGAGATTTTCTAATGAAATATTATTTAGACAACTTTTTTGTTGTAATTAAATAGATTTAAAAATGTATACAGGCGAATTGAATTGAAGGGTTCATGATTTTTTTTTTTATGAATTGCAGGGGATGCTTACTCCTCCCAGGCATCTGATCCCACCTCTTGTGTTCCCAGAGGTCCGTATATTTACCCTGTTCACAATTGATAGTGTTTATAGGGTTTTATGAGACTGGTCTCTGTTCGTTTATATTCATCATTTACATTTTTTTACCGGAAATAGCAAGCACCTGCGATGCACACTCAATTCTCCAAACTCCAATTTATGTTCGTGTTAACAGACATAAAACGTTTAAGGAAATACTTCGTAGTTTGATGATGCATGCACGCAAGTGTGTTTATAGTAACTGTGTCATTTAAAGTGCTAGAAATTAAAAAGATATATCAGTTTATTTCAGAGGCTATTCATGCGTCGGTATTTCTGCATTACTTCTATAGAATGATCTGTGCTCTATTTTTATTTATTTTGCTGGATCCCATTTATATCTCTGGACAACGATGTTCTGGGTAAGAATTTCCTTTTAATTATACTTTTAAATGCAAAAGTAAAAAAAAAAATACTAAAAATCCTTGATTAAGAAGTAAAGTTCCACATTGATTCCATACGTTTCCCTTATGATTATAACTTTAAAAATATAGTTTTAAACATGAACATGATAAGTGAACATTTTTATCTTTTCCATCCTTTTTTGCATCAGACAAGGAAGTTTATATATTTTGCATGAGGTTTGAAAAGAAAATAAGTAGCATTAAATGATGTATAAACATTATCGATTTCAATATTAATTGCCAAAATTATATAAAATAGTACTGTAAATATTACTAAATAATAAAATAAATTGTGTTATGCTTACTTTATACTTTTTCCCTTATTAAGGAAATTCTTATACAATTATGAGCTTAAGATTCATAATCATTGTAATTAAACATTTCGGCACGTTCTATATTATAATCTTATTAGTTTCACTAATAATAGCTTTCTAAGTATATTGCTCATATAATCAAGATAAGACCTCAACAAACTTCAATAATTGTATATATTACAAAGCAAAAGTTCTTTCCTTATATAAAATGGAGCTAGTACAAATCACTTGACATAATTTTGTACTTGTTAGTGTTCAGATGTATTATCGGCAATATAATTAAGTATTTCTATTACATGTATATATGTAATTCAAGTCATAAAACTTTTCTGTTCCTTTGCTTCTTTTTTTTTCTTTCTTCAAGGCCTTTAAAGTGCTGTAGAGGTTATAAATGGGACTCACAGATACAAGACTGCTTTCGTAAGTTGTCTGAATAAAAGAGGTACTACTGCAAGTCATTTATTTTGTTAATTTGTGTTATTCCAGTTTTGAATGCAAAAAAGGTATGGTAACATTTTAGGATTTGATTCACGCGAACAACATATCCGATAGGTAGTTATGATGGTTTAAACGTTTTCTTGCAAATTCTTTCAAAAACAAATTCCAAGGAGATGAACTTTCGATTAAAAGGAAATGGAATCTTTCATTTGAGATAATTTTCGAACATAGTTAACCTGGAAAAAGAAAAAAAAAAAATAGAGGTCTCACAGGATTCATGTATGTCACTTTTTTTCAAGAAACAGCCTTTTCATACAAGATGTATACATGTAGCTAGAGAATGAAATGTGAAATCAGTATGTAAGAATTTAAAGGATTATATCTTCAATGTCGGGAAAAGGCGACAAGAAAATAGTTCAAACGATAGTGCTCGTTCTGACAGATTCCCTATTAAGCTTCGAAAAATATACTCTACAGACTTGACAAATATTAGAAAAAATATAGACTCAGACGAATGTATGCCCTGTAGTGCCACTAATGATATAAACTCCACTTAAGAGCCCTCTAAAGACTGTACACCAAAGGGTTCTGATTTTGATGTAAGTTTATGCAGCTAGAGCAATCTGCCCTTTGATCTAGAATAAAATAAATTGATTTGTACAGTTTATTTCTTAATTTGTGATCATATAAGCATTTATAGCAAATTAGTAGCCCAAGATAAATAGCTTGAACACTCAATTTGCTTGTATTTTGCCCATTTAAGTTAACAAGAGAGATTTCTGTTCATCAGTACTTCATTGTCTTTAAATATTTTTCCTGGGGGTAAATGCAAGGTACCCTATGTTTAACATGTAATAGATAAGCTCAACATTTACACCTTTACACACTATAATTTTCTCAATATCCAAAAAATATTTCCCTTTACTGTATAGAGAGTCCTTAAGGTAGCAAAAAAAAAATAGTTGATGACTGTTCATCCATACATGATAACTGCCTCATCATTCGAGCGTCGTGTGAACCACTTATTATTATAATGTACATGTACGTTATGATAAGCGCGACGAAACTGGTCTGTTAATTAGATAAAATTTTGATACAATTAGAAAAAAAAAATTAGTATTTAATTTTAAAATATCAAACATTAAGTAAAGCGGTTTGCTATTTTGAGAATATGAATGGTGTAAGGCGATACAAATGTATAAAGCTACTATCTTTAAGCTTATGTATAATTTTTTTTATATTCTAATAGAGTCTGATTTTCTACATGTTTACATAGCTTGCAAATACCCACAATATGGAAGAAGCTGCCAATTCACTTGTAACTGCTCCGAATTTAGATGCAACCAATATGAAGGGTGCTCAC